AATGTATTGCTGGGATTTGTATTCCCATGTATAATATACAGCACAATGTACCATCAGCTATAGAGGAATACAAATCCCAGCAATACATTATAGAGCACCATGTGTGGGTGGGAGTGCAGGCTTACCTGAGCAGTCTTCCAGCAACTTGTTTCTGAGATCGGGCTGGTCTATCGGCGACCATCATCCACCCACACCTGCTCCTCCTTACTTCTTTTCCCCGTGTCCCTGTGCCGATCGTGGATTTGGGCGGGCGGTGAGTGTGAGGCACGGAGGAGGTGCGAAGCGTGGATGCGGGCAGGTCTGGCAGCGGCGAGCGTGAGGTGGGGAGGAGGTGTGGCGCGCAGCGTGTGTGGAGCCGAACAGGGCCAACCAATCAGAAGCCAATTAATCGATTATTGAAAAAGTTGACAACTTTTTCAATAATCGATTATAATCGATTATGTCGATTAGTTGTTGCAGCCCTAGTTGCAGCCCTACAAGACACAGCACAGCAACAAGACACAAGGTAGTTATACTGCATCAGCAAGGTCTCTCCCAGGCAAAGATTTCAAAGCAGACTGGGGTTTCAAGATGTGTTGTTCAAGCTCTTTTGAAGAAGCACAAAAAAACGGACAAAGTTGAACATCGTGGGCGCAGTGGTCGGGCACGGAAACCTAATGCAGCAGATGAAAGATATATCATGCTTACTTCCCTTCGACATCCGAAGATGTCCTCAGTGCCATCAGCACCAAACTGGCGGAAACCAGTGAGACCCAGGTACCCCCATCTACTATCCAGAGAAGTCTGGCCAGAAGTGGTCTTCAAGGAACAATTGAGGCCAAAAAGCCATACCTCCGACCTGGGCACAAGGCTAAGCGACTCAACTTTGCACGAAAACATAGGAAAATGGCAGCAGGTGCTCTGGACTGATGAGTCAAAATGTGAAATATTTGGCTGTAGCAGGAGGCAGTTTGTTCAGTGAAGGGCTGGAGAGCGGTACAACAATGAGTATCTGCAGGCAATAGTGAAGCATGTTGGAGGTTGCTTGCAAGTCTGGGGCTGCATTTCTGCCAATGGAGTTGGAGATTTGTTCAGGATCAATGGTGCACTTAATGCTGAGAAATACAAGCAGATACTTATCCGTCATGCTATACCATCAGGGAGCCGTGTGATTGGCCCCCAAATTTATTCTGCAGCAGGACAACGACCCCAAACATACAGCCAATGTCATTAAGAACTATCTTCAGTGCAAAGAAGAACAAGGAGTCCTGGAAGTGATGGTTTGGCCCCCACAGAGCCTTGATCTCACCATCATGGGGTCTGTCTGGGATTACATAAGGAGACAGGATTGGAGGCAGCCGACATCCACAGAAGATCTGTGCTTAGTTCTCCAAGATGTTTGGAACAACCTACCTGCCCAGTGCCTTCAAAACGCAAGTGTACCTAGAAGAACTGATGCTGTTTTGAAGGCCAAGGGGGGCCACACCAAATATTGATTTGCTTTGGATTTCTCTTCTGTTCATTGACTTTCCATTTTGTTGATTGATTAAAAAAAAAAAAACTATTCACATTTTTTTTACTTTACAGCATTTTTTCACATCTGCCTAAAACTTTTGCACAGTATTGTATATATATTAGAGATGCACCGATACCAATACTAGTGACAAAAGAGCATGAAGCCGGCTTCCCGGCCAATCAGGAAGACGGGCGCCGTGTAATGACTCGCCGCCCGACTTCCTGATTGGCCAGCTTCCCAACCAATCAGGAATCTGGGTGGCAAATCATTACCTGCCCCCCGGCTTCCCGATTGGCCAGAAAGCCGTCTCCATGCTTCCTCGTCACCTGGTGATGAGGGAGCATGGAGACAGCCTCCCAGCTAATCAGGAAGCCGGGCGGCGAGTCATTACACGCCGCCCAGCTTCCTTAATGGGACTTCCGGTATCGGTATTCGGTATTGGCGAGTACCGGGAAAAAAATATTGGTACTCCAGCACCTAATAAGTGGAATATCATGTCTCACATGTCTCTTACCTGGTGGGTCACTGCACACATAGCAGACATATTGCTCGGGAATACTGTCTTCTAGAAGGCCCATACATACACTGTGCTGCCAACAGAGGCATTCTTCACACTGTGGAATAAGTCATCAATCACTCGGTCAATCTTTCACAGTCAGAATAATTTTTTCTTTTTCATTTGTCAAATAATAATAATAATTAAAAAAAAAAAAAGAAAAAACTTACCTCAGTCTCAGCCTCTGATGGTTCCGGGAGGCAAAGGTAATTTCACTTTTCCTCCCCGCAGAGCTGGGAGCATGAAACCCCAGGAGAATGCAATTCAGCCCACTGCAGGAATGCATTCTTGTGGAATTTAAAGCTCCTATCTCTGCTGGGAGGCACTGTGACGTCACCTGCGTCTACCGGAAATCCCTCCGTGTGGAAGCAATGGTTTGTCTGCAGCAGTATGACAGGCCCCCCTCAAAGTCGCAACTAGAGCTCTGCCACTGTGAGCTTTACTAATTGAAATAGCTATAGGTCTGACTCAGCAAGCGGCGGGGGGTTGATCTCTGCAGAGAGACCGCTACTTCCACATAGAGAGAGAGAGGGTGGCTGCTTTAGAAACTAAACCAATGTTAAGAATAAAAACACAGTTTTACTGTACCTGGAATGTATTTACAGCATATACAATGAGAGTTTAAGTGGGCTTTAAACTTTTTTCAAACTTTATTTATAGGTTTGTAAGCATAATGATCTTTTATGTCACTTTTATCATTGTTTTAAGAAATAATTGAATTAAGGGCGTTTCTTACACTACATATATAGTACTATCCAATATCGAAGAAGAATAACCCACAGCAACCACTTAGAATTTACTCTTCTGAAGTCAGAACAGTACAAAATGGATTCAGATTGCGTACTTTTGGATACAGCACAAAAAGTAAAGATTTGCTATGTTATCGGGAACATTTAGAAAGGTTAACTGAGCCTTTTATCTGGAATTCCTCCTAAAAATAGCTGTTCACCTAATGGTATGTGAATGTGCCTAAGCAGCCCTGTGCCTACAGTCATAGTTGTATGTCTGCAGTGTGAGATCTAAGGCACTGCCACCTCTGACTTGCTAGTCTTCAAGAGATGGGAAATGAGATTTGGTGATGTCCCTCCTGTGCTGCTCATTGTTCTTCTTGCTAGAGGCTCTGACATGAGGAAGCAAAGCCCTGTCTCTACTAACATGGCTAACTCCACATAGTGACCCAGTGCAGAACAAAGCATCCGAAGACAAAAATGGAGAAAGACCAGCTACAGAAAGACCACAGGAAATGCTGGTGACTAGTCCTGTGCCCTCTACCTGCCATTGCATTACATTTTCTGCTCCTCTTTAAGAATAAGAACTCTTTCTAGAGAATTCTGGGCTTTCTAATAATAGCAGTGGCTCACTTTCTGTCTATCTCTAAGGGCTTGTTCACACCAATTGCAGTGCGTTCCAGAGCGGTAGCTGCTGAAACACACAGCAATTGCTCACTAAACTTCCCCCTTCGTTCTGGGGTGGGAGGGGGTGTGGCGGCCCATAGTGGCAAAACATTGCCTGAGTTCCGGTCCACTGTGAACGCACAAAATAGAGGATGCAGCATTTTTTTGCCACACGTCCGATTGCACTGCGGGCGTGGCTGCGGTGCCATTGACTCTAATGCACCGCCACGCCCCCTCCCACCCCAGAACAGAGGGGGAAGTTTAGTGATTGATTGCTGTACGTTCCAGCAACTACCGCTCTGGAATGCACCACAATTGGCGTGAATTGGCCCCTATATTCCATACAGGAGCATAGGAAACGGAGACAGGGAGGTGGTTGTGCCCATGCTCTGGATTATTTAGCTGTATGTTCTGAACTGAGATCACAGTAGGGGTTTAAAGAATATCTTAACAGCAGTGAAACAAAGAATCCTACAAAACTTGCTGGCAGCAGACTCCAGAGCACCACCTACTGGATGCAGGAGGTATATATGGACATTATATGAAGATCTCCAATCAGCAGTCTGTGTGAGAATTGGAACCCTTGACAGAACAAGGCCAACAGCTGTGTTCTTAAAGAACTCTCTGCTTTCAAATAGGAAGAAGTAGATGCAGTAGATGCTCACTTGTGGTCTGTCTCTTTCTAAATTACACTTCACATGAGGAAATAGAAACTAGAAACAGGGTAGTGGGAGTGTTCCTCCTCTAAGTCATTTAGCTGTGTGTTCTGAATAGAGTTGAACAGTAAGGGATCAAATACAAACTCAATGCAGAAATGAAGAAAATAACTTTTAAAAACAGCTCTACCCCCTGCCTGCCAAACGTATGTATGTATAT